TATTAAAGAAACTTAAGATTCAAATTGAATAATACTTATTTGAAATATTTTATTCTGCATACTTTTTTACTTAAAATAGTAATAGTTTGTCTACAGCTAATTCAAATCTAATAGCTTAATTATCTTAATTTTAATTATATTCGATAATTTTGATTCTTATAATTTAAAATTCTTAAAACATTTGAATTTCATAATATAGTGAATTATCGTGACAATTCGTTATTTTTATACACATTAAGAGTTCATTCTTCCAAAATAGTATTTGTAGTAGTTGCATTTTTATATAAAGAATTTCTTTTCTCTCTGGTTACAAGTGATAATATTACATTCTTTAATTGTACTATATAGCCGTGTCACAAAGGTTAGACAAGAGGTCATTTAGCGTTATTGTCTAAGGTAATCTTGCTGACACTAGTTTAAAAGTTGAAATTAGGTCAAACGTATATTCGTTTAAAATGGAACGATTATATTTAGATCAGGAAAAGCTAGGTCAAGAAATTACGAAGCTTTTAAATAATTTGCGAAAACTACGGAAAGAAAAACAAACGAGAGAATATTTAAACATTAAAAGACAGACACTTGATGAATTGTGGAACGACTTTGAAGATCAAAACACAGAAATTGAAGAGAAAGGTTTGAGAGTTGATAAATATTTTACATCTAACTTTTACGAACAAGTACAAAAAAGATATGAAGAAACGAAAAAGAGTTTAGAGGAATTTAATAAAAGTTCGTACAAGTCTTCGACAGAAATTAGAGAAATAGAAATTAGGATGGGAAAACTTCATCATTTATTGGAAGATGACGAAACCGATGAAGATTTACAAGAGGATTTAAAAGAAGAGGTACAAAAAATAGATACATTAATAATGGAAATAACTGTGGACAATGAACAGGATGCACTAGAAGAAGGTGAAATAGAAATATTTTATACAATGAAAAGAAGGGTGCGGTCGATCGTAAAAGAAAATAAGAGATTAGAGGCGGAAGGATGCAAGAAAGACAAAATAATATTACCCCAAGTGAAGTTACCCTGTTTTGAAGGAAGGTATGAATCCTGGGTAACATTATATGATATTTTTAAACGTTTGATACATGAGAATAATCAACTATCAAATGTGGAAAAAATGCAGTATCTGAAGACAAACCTCCGAGGAGAAGCAAGTAGACTAATACAACATTTAAACACAACAGAAGCAAACTACAGTGCTGCCTGGAAAATGTTGCAAGATCGATACGATAATCCAAGGATGAATCTATTTATATTAATAGACAAGATACTTCAGGCTGCGGAGATAAAAGAAACGTCAGCAAAGGCGCTGAAATCATTACATGATACTCTCCACGAATGCTTAGAACCCATTAGTGGACTAGGTGTAATGACAGAGTCCTGGAGCCTTCTTATAGCAAGGATAAGTATGTTAAAGTGGGACACAGAAACCAGGAGATTATATGAAACGTCAATTCAAGAGAGTAGGGACATTCCGACATATAAGTCAACACAGGAATTCCTACAAAGAAGATTCCAGACATTGGAGATGTTGGAAACAGAAAGGAAAGGAACAGATCATAGACAACAGGTAAAGAAGAAGATAACCTGTGTGGTGTGTCATGAAGAACATAAACTGTTGAAATGTACAACGTTTCTACGTCAACAAGTACGTGAAAGAAACAAAATCGTAAAGGAAAAGCAATGGTGCGGTAGATGCCTACTACACAAAAGGGAAGTACCATGTTATTCCTCTCATAGATGTGCAGAATGTGGTGGACAGCACCATTCATTACTACACGTGACAGAAGGTCAGCATGATAACAGAAGGAATTCTGAAAACAGAAGGCCACAAAATAGACCCAATTCTAGTGGGAACAAAGGTGACAACAGTTACGACGGTTCGTCAAGGAGACAAGAGAATGCCGTGAGCTGTTTAAGTCATCAGAATGAAGAAGTGCTACTTGCAACGGCATTAGTACGAGTAAGAGACTCAAAAGGAAGCTCACAATTGATGAGAGCATTGATTGACCAAGGCTCGCAGTCATCATTCATAACGGAGCAGGCCGCTACAAGTCTCGGAATAAAAAGAAAAGCTGTCCACGCTCAGATATCTGGAATTGGCAATGAAGACCAAAGGACGTCGAAATGGAGCGTAACATTAAACTTACAGGCACATTTCAAAAATGAATTTGAAATGAAGACCGAAGCAATTGTACTAAGAAAAATAACAAAAAATCTACCGGAGAAAGAGATACAAATGAAAGAAAGGAACCATAGGAACTTAGTCCTGGCGGATCCAAATTTTAATGAAACAGGTTCAATAGATATTCTATTAGGAGCCAAAGAATATAGTTTGATATTACTGGATGGAGTAGATCGAACAAAGAATGGTTTGCTGGCCCAAAATACAAAATTGGGTTGGATAATGTCAGGGATAGCAGAGCAAGAGAATATCCCTAATATAGCTTAAGTGCTTAGCATGCTATCTAGACGACAAATTGATGAAGATAGAAAACAATACTGGAAGTTAGAAGAAGTAGATCAAAGCAATACTCTTTCAGTAGAAGAAAAAAAGTGTAAAGGATATTATAAAGGAACAGTAAAAAGGAAAAACGAAGGAAGATTTGAAGTTAAAATACCCTTCAATTTTAGTACAAGCCTATTAGGGGGACTCACTACAGCAAGCATATGTGAGACTTCTGCAATTAGAGAAGAAATTTCAAAGAGACACAACCCTAGAAAAAGAAAAGGTGGTGTTGTACGCTCGTTGTTGGTCCCAAGGAATCTACTTGCAGTAGATTACAATAACTTACACTAATTTTTTTAAGTGACATATAAAAATAAAGGAGGGTAGTCAGATATTTTCGAAACTCCAAGAGAGCCAGAAAACAAAGGCATCAAGGTTCTTACATCCAACCTCATCCAGCGCCTCGAAGACGTACTTTATCACAACCAAATTTAGGTAGTACTTTAAAGAAAGCCCCTCCTAGATCAATTTCACTTAATGAGCTTAGATTTGAATTATATAGTTTAGCTGAAACATGAATTCTAAATAATCAAATTATAGATAGCACTGCTCGGGTGAGATAATTATTCAAAAACCGTGTGAATTAGTATTATGCTTATTATTATTATTATTTATATTTTATATGTATTTAAACATTTTCGTCTGTTTGTTATATAGTGGCCAATATGTTCAATCACAAATTAACCCCTTAATTTGTAATCTCACATTATTCTTAACTTCTTAATCTTTTATAGTTTCACCGTGTATAAGTTTGCATTATACATATTGCAAAACCATATCGTATGATAATTTAATAATTAGTTCATTTACCTACAACTAAATAAATTGCCAAATAACAATATTTTCTAATTGAACTTCCTAAGTGTCGCAATTAAGGCGTAGATTAAATTGTATTATAAGCAAAAGTTAGGTGGTGTGATATGAACGAAGCAATGACCTAAGGTGCTTATGTATCTATTATGTGTGAGATTATAAATTGGGGATTTGAGTTCAAATGAACACAGTCAATATTGAGTAGTTACCGAACGAACACCATATTGTGTAATTACGAGTTGCTGTCAATAAATCATCACTTTTACTCCGCAACTTCAACTTGTTATTATACCTATCAGCATCGATCGACGAGAAGCGGACAAAGGGGCATTACGAACCGAACCGAACTTCACTACTAAGTTCGATATCTTTTTCAACCACATTATCATAAAAGAGACAATATTTAAAAAAAAAACAACTCTTCAAAAATTTATGAATTAAAACAAGAATCTCATTTTCAACAAACTTTTTACTGGATGATTAAAAGCATTAGGACCTATTTCTTAATGTTATGCCATTTATTTTTAATTTATTGAAAAAAAATTAGCTTAAATTTTCTAAACTCATTTCTATTGAACTACTATTATTTAATTATAGTTTATTCGTCTTCCGGGTTTGGACCGTGTCATTTGTGAGTGACCCAAAAGTGGGTTCATCTCGACGTTTCGCTACAATTATATGTAGCTTCTTCAGGAGAACAAAGAAAACTTTTCTTTGTTCTCCTGAAGAAGCTACATACAATTGTAGCGAAACGTCGAGATGAACCCACTTTTGGGTCACTTACAAATGACACAGTCCAAACCCGGAAGACAAATAAACTATAATTCTGACTCTGGCCGTGGAAGACTACGATTTCATTTTACTATTATTTATAGCATTTAAAAAATAACCACAATTTACGAATAAATATATTTTTTGTAGTTTTTGTGAAAATTGACGTAAAAAATTCCCGTTTAATAATTTTTCCCGATCTATATTTTAACTCTGAATTGGAATCCATGGCAGTTTTTGCTGGACTAATTCTGGCATAATACGTAGCGCGCAAACCCAAGAATAATTTTTTTAGGCAAAGCTTTCATGCTGGCGTTTCTTTACTTTTTTCTACAGTCAAATGCTGAGGGGAGCATTACGAAAGTAGTACTACGAAACTAAATTGCAGTTCGTGGTTCGCAGTCACAGTAAACAGTTAAAAGATTCCATTAACGCGACGAGAGGAGTCTGTTCCTACAACATGTAAACTTTTTCAATTGTACTAAAATCTATACAAAAAATAATAAATAAGTAAAAAAATAAAATTTAAGTTTTAAAAATACAGAAAACACAACATGAAGCTTCTCGCTCGTCTGCAGTAGCGCCTACTGTACCACATTTTCTATTTTAAATCTCACCAAATTTGGTTTGAATCGTTTTTTTTTTCAAAATCTTTAACGAAAATCAGGATTTTAACGAATTCTTTTGTTATATTTTGTTTTTGTGCAGTCCATATTAAATCCTATATTTGGCCAATCTGGAATGTTCTTGAACCAGATACAGTTCCTGCATCCGGGTCTTTATCTACTCCCGATTTTATGCCTCATAATCAGCTTGACGCGTATATATTGACTTTTTGTAATTAATACATACTCCTTAGATTCATTTAAAAATAATTCTATATTTTATCTATTTTAGCCTCTAGTACAGTAGAAAGTAGTACTACATCTAGTGCTACAGTAAACACAAGTACAACGAAGAAGAAAGGTAAGCTTAAAAATTAATTACTTTCTTTTTATTTTTTTTAAATATTCTATTTTAAACCATTCTAAAAATAATCATGGTTAATAAATAATTCTAAAAAGAAACTTTTTACATATACAAATAGACAAAATAGATGGTAAAAAAATTTTCTACAAGAGAAAAAGGTATATGTGAATTTGTCTATATCTACTTCGGTCCGTCATATTTACAAACCACAAGATTTAATGATGGAGGTTAAGAAACGAGAACGAAAGAAACAAATTTAAAAAAAAGCTAGAATATCTCTTTAAAAAAGAAACAATAAATAGGTACATACATGATGAACAGAGGAAGAAAAATAATATTCGTGAACTTTTTCTGATCAGTTCACTTATTTCTCTTGGTGATGTGGGATTATTTCTCTTGTTTTTCGGCCGTTTCTAGTTCTGTCTGTTTCTTCTACTTCGTCAATAAAGTCTATATTTTCGTCATGGTGATAGTTCAGTGTACACTCTCTCTCAATAATCGTTGTCATCACCTTGGCTTTCTCTTTTACAGAGTTTACGATTCCGTTTTCTCCATGTAGTGAGGAAATAGGTTTTCTACCGATTCTTACAGTTCTTTGGAGCCTCAATATTTCTTGCTTATTTTGTCTCTTTCCATTTCTTTTACATAATTGTCCGACTTTTGACTACTATGTTTTATTATTGCCTGTTTGACTTGTCGATTTTAGACATTTTTATCTTCCTGACTTCTTGTTCTGGCTCTCGTTTTGGTTCTGTTCATTTCCATTATCATTTCTTTTATTTTCTGATTAATATCTCTAAATCTTGCAATGGAAATTTCATATTCTTGCCTCAGTAGTGCTCCTTAGTGCTTCAATTATGATGTTTTCGAGCTCTTTGAGTTTTCCCTCTATTTCTTGTGGATTGTCAATTGTAGAAACGTTTCCAATTCCTATGCTCACTAGTTCTTTAAAGTTAGAACACTTGGTTTCCTTTATTTTTTTTTGTTGTTTTGTTACCTCTTCTCATGTGCCTATTTCTAGGAGTATAGGGTTGTGGTCTTCTGATCCTTCGTTTAAGATTCGGATGTCTGTTTGTAGTCCTAGGTTTTTAGCAAATGGGTTGTTAGAGCATATCCTAAAGTAGATAATTAATAAATATTCTTTTGTTTCTGTTTGTAGCTCTATCGTTCCAGTCAGAGGATCTGAAGTTTAGGTCTCCTATTATTATAAACGATTTTTTATGTTCAGAAATCCAGGCATTCAGGTCGTCATTGTTTAAAGGATCTGCTGGCCTTAGTGTTAGTTGCTAAAGTAATCCTTATGTCTCATCTGGACTTTTATTGTTGTTGTTTTCATACTATTGAGGGCTGGCGTCTGTTTAGGTAATGTATGGTTTATAGCTTTTTTCACTAGGATAAAAGTTCCTCCTAAATTTGCTCTGTAGTCGTTCCGGAAGATGTATCCTGTAAACTTGATGTTGATGGTATGTGTTAGTTTAATTTCTTGTAATGCTATCATAACTATTTTATATCTGTTTATTAGTTCGTCCAGAAAATTTGCATTTGTTCTTATGCTGTCTGAGTTTCAGGAGCCTGTCTTCAGTCGCCACCAGCTTTGTACCTTAGTTTGTGCTATTTTTACAGTTTTGGTCGTTTCATTTACGGTTTTTATCACTAGTTCTTCTAGTATCGTGACCAGTCCTTTTTGTTGTTCTTTTGAAATTAGTAATGTCGAATCTGTTGCTAGGTTTTGTATGGGTTTCGTGATTTGGGCGTACGACTACCCATTGTTTCTTTGTTATATTTGTTTTTGTTTTGCTGGAATTTTGCAGAATTTGCTTCTACGCTTTGTAGCTTCTTCGAAGTATGCATTTTGGGTGTGATAGAAGCACTTTTAACTTCGTGTTTGTTATGTTTATTGTATTAATTTCATGTTTCTTAATTAGTTCTGTTTGTATGTCTTTACGTTCTGTATTTGTGGGAAGTGCTCTGATAACCATTTCGGGCTTGATGTCTTAATGGGCAGACGATCCACTCTATTTTGCTATATTCTTGTAAGATTTTGGTAAATGTTCTATAATCTTCAGGGCATTTTGTTTGAATGAGGGTTTCTCTTCCATTTTTGAAAATTGTCTTGTCTGTATATTATACCCTTTAAGTTTCAGCAATTCTCAATATTGCTTCTGTTTCGTTCACTGTTTGTAGTTTCATTACTGGTGATTTTGTTTTGGACTTGTTTATATTGATTTCTTCTTTCTTCTCTTTTTCCCTAGTTTCCATTGTTTCTTTCCTATCCTTATTTGGTAGGGAAGCAAAATCTTTATTTTGTGCTTTGGATGCTGATGGCATACTGTTTTCTTCCCCGACCTTTTTTGGCAGGCAAGGAAAATTTTCATTAATTTTTGTTTTGGGTGTACTTTCTGTATTTGCGTTGTTCTTATTAGTATCTTCCATTTTTTTTGGGATTGGTCCCGTGATTTTTTTTTCATTCAAGTATCTGTTTTTCGGTTTCCTTGTTTCGGTTTTTAAATTTGTCGAATCTTTTATTTATAGTTTTGATTAGTTTTTCGTTCGATATTATTATTTATGCTTTGTAATTCATTGGCTTTTTCATTTATTTCATCGACCTTTTTTCTGAGTTTTTTAATTTCTGTCTGTCTGCCTGTTCATTTTAGCAACTAAATATTTATCTTCCTGGCTCGCATTCGCCCTGTGACGTTTTACTGATTGCTTATTTTTAATTTTAATTTTCTATTTTAATTCTGTTTCGTGTTCTGTTTTCATATTGTTCTGATTTTTATTTTTTGATGCGGTCTTAGGGGTTTTAAAATCGCCTTTTGAGGCATCACACGATAAATTATCATTATTTGGATCAATGTCTATATTAGAAAAATCAGTCAGAGGAAGATTTGAATAAATATTTGACCTTATCTCCATTGGTCCTCGTTATAGTTGTTTTCTCAACTTACTTTACTGCTCTTTGGAACTGCTCCGTTTGAGGCATCACACGATAAATATCATTATTTGGATCAATGTCTACATCAGAAAAATCAGTCAGAGGAAGATTTGAATAAATATTTGACCTTATCTCCATTGGTCCTCATTATAGTTGTTTTCTTAACTCAATTTACTGGTCCTTGGAATTCCACTATACTGTAATTCTCACTTTTTCCGCGCTTTGTTGTGTCACTAATCGATAAATGGATTATGTTTAAGCATTATGCCACTGTCTTTGCAGCTTTTTACTTAAAGCCAATTTCCCACTCATCTTGAAAAAGGCGAATACTCTAATATAAGCTTATCGTAGTCAAGGACGTCCTCCAACAAGGTGGATTTATTATTTACGGAAGGCCTATGTTCAGCAGTGGATTAAAAACGGCTAATGATGATGAATGTACTCTAAACTAAAATTAAAGTTTGGTTTTGATTTTACTTTTAATATTGACTATATTATTATCTAATATATTATATTATAAATTTTATGAATGCCTCTATATATTTCTCTATAATATATTCCAAAATTAGTATTTTACTATTCATGGTCTTCAGAAACATCTGAGAAATAAAAACCTAAACCGTGTAGTATTTCTAGGGGTGGACAGTCAAGGACTTTTAAAAGAAGAAAAATAAAAATACATACTGAATTTTCATTTCGAGAATTACAAATAATTATTCTAATAGCAACAGGTGAATTACTTATTTATGCGGATTCACGCGAGAAGCCGCAAACTGCTAGGACATACCAAAACCGTTAACGAATAATTGATTTTTAATCTTGTGGAACTGGAACTTGATTGGATATAATTTCTGCTATAATTTATTTAAAAAATGTTTAAGATTTTTTAACACTTTTTTAACAATTAACACTTTTTGTTTCAGTGCCCAGACCTTCTGGTCCGCCACAATGCAATGCAGTTGGACTTTATCCTGCTCCTCAGTGTAATCAGTATTACGAATGCGTACAAAGTACTTATTTGTTTTTCTGGACATCTTATTCAGCAGAATTAAGAACATGCATAGATGGCGATTACTATGATACCGAACGAAAACAATGCATTTTAGCTTCTTTAAGTGATTGTGAAGTGTGAATGTATTTAACTAATTTTGAACATATATAATTAAAATAATTGGTAGTACTTTTTTAAACATAAAAATAAATAAAAAAATTAACTTTAGTAGAATTGAACTAAATTATTTTAATAATTAATATAGCATTAAAATAAAAAGGATATACTCATAATTCCATGTTTTCTTTCACTCTTAACTAATATTAAGATATTAAATAATATTAAGCAGGAAACATTAAAATTTTCATCTATTATGTTAAATGAAACATCAGTTAGCAGATAACGTATCTACTTAAATGACATTTTTGATTTTAATTTATTTGGGAGTTATGGTAACCGCAACATTTTATAGAGCGAATTTCATGGACGTATAAACATAGATGGACACAGCAATAAGGTACCTTTAACACACAATGTTTTGAAGCTTCGATAGAATGTAATGCTTCCGCAATGAGCATAAGCGTGCTTGAATTATTACTCGCGGGTAATTATTCAGATTTTAAAAATTGGAAGTAGTAATAATGTATAACAAGTCACGTCTATATAGAAAAATTAAAATACAATTTTATTTGCTTTAAAATTAATACAATTAAATATAGTTGAATTCAAGTTAATTTTTTAATAGGTATCAAAATAATGCTACAATAAAAATTTTTTGTTTTCTCCTTAATTTGCTACCCAAATAGTTCGATCGTCAATATTATTTGGAAACCCACATAGAAAAATAAATGAGTTTTATTCATTTCACTAATTTATTTGTATCCATGAGAAATTATAAATTTAAAATGTACTAAACAGATCTTTTTTAATCAGATGATGTCTACCTACAATTTATAAATGTCTACTAATTTCATGAACTCATATCTTATTCAATACATTAATGAACATGAATAAACCCAATGGTACGCCTATTAAAATGTAAACAAACACGCTTCCTCATTTCCTCATCTTAAATAATGTAAATTGTACGTACTTACAAATGAAATGAGGGATCGGGATGTAAATGTTTCGTTTTATTTTATTTCACTTTTCACTTTTCAATTTTCACAAATACAGCCAAAATATCGAAAAACAACTTTTTCCCATCTACTGTAAAAAGGGGGGAAATTTTCAAGGATTGCAATCTACTACAGTATTACAATCATGTGATGTTTGCTGTTTATGTAAATTAAAAGACTCACACATTTCGCACTCCTCATTACCAAGTCGAATAAATGAAATATTCAAAGATTTGAGTTGTTTGCGATAAACCTCATAGGACATATTTTCTTCTGGATATTTTGAACAGAAATCTTTGTACATAAAAGTTATATTAATATCGCTCGGTAAATATCGTCTCAATGGCGCGTGCTCCCGTCTGTAGTGCGGCTCTGCAGGATTGAATGATTGTATGTGGTTATTAATTAACTGGCGATCTATACGAGGCGTTTCCTGGTGTTTTCCACGCATGTCTGAATGAATGGGATTTGTAGCATCAAGTGACCTCAATATAGCGTCGTTATTTTTTTTGTAACCCAAGATAGTCAAAAAAATATTTTGCACACCTCAATAACAGACCCATCTCTTTTCTTCTTAAACGCAAAACATCTTTTCGGCTTTCTTTTAGGTTCACTTGTGTATTTTCTTTTCGGAACTGCTGTAGCCACTTGAGACATAACAAAAACTCTTCGCTGTTCAAAAGACAAATTCCAAAAATCAGAATTCAACTGTGCTCTATCTTGCTCAGGAAAAAGCGTGTTACATTTTTTTAAACATTTTTCAGTACAAGCTGGTTTTACGGCATATTCTAATTGCTTTTTAGCTCTCTTCTCTTTAATCCGTTCACCTAAGCCAGTGTCATACTTCTTTCGTTTCTGTGGTTGGACATCAAGTTCACTTCTCACCGTACCAGTGCTTTTCGTATCCATAGTGTTAGTATTTTTGTTTTTATTAGTCCAATCTACAGTGTGTCTTCTTGGCTCTTTTTTTTCCCATTTTCAATGCATCTTAGTTCTCGAAAATCTGTCTTTTTTTATGTTTATTTATCGACAGTGAATTACGGCATGTATGAGATGGTGAAGATTTCGTGAGTGTAGCTGTAGAAGTAGAAGGCTCAGTTAAATTTGTAGGAAAAATTCGTAATTGAATTTTCTTTGGCAATTTTCGGTGCGAAGGAACGTTTTCGGGCAAATTTAAATCGTCTGAATCTTCGCTTGAATCCGGAATATAATCTTCGTCAAGAACTGAGTCGTCTGAATTAAAATCTAATATATTAGGGCATAATAATGGTTTTGTATTATTATCAGGGTGAAAAGAATTATGTTGGATATAATCAGGTACATTATCAGAAGGAAAATCATCTGCTGGCATTTCTTCATAACAAAACATATCAGTGTTTTCTAATGATATGCTGGGAAAGGCTTTGTTTAGTAATATCTTTATCAAATTTCGGGAATGGTAAGATGTTAAACTATTTTGTGTCTAACAAAATTTGTTGAAAACTGCCGAAGTCATGGAATATGATCGAGCATACAAATTGTTTACAAATTCTGTTTCCGGTTCGCCAGTTTGCATCTTAAAGTAATCCGAACTTGGTATTTTTGACGTTACCATATCTAATATGAGTTGAGATCGCCGGGAAATTTTAGAACTGCAAAAAAAACGAAAAATTCCATTTACTAGAAATAATATTATTGGAATAGGATTAGAAAACAAGTAAATATTTCTTAACCAACACAAACTGTCATACACACAAACACACTATCATGGAAACATACAAAATATACAATCTTTTATCTTGTACATGTATGTGCAAGTCGTAATTAAGATTTCATTAACTTTTAAAGCGCATTTTTAAAAATTTTAGTAATAATAACAAGAAGGAACTTACCAAGGCATTTTCTTAGCCATATTGATGATTTGGCGTGAAATATCCTGTTCACCAAAAGCTCGTGACGTGACTTCTCCGACAAACGATAGAATATTAAATACTAATTGACGAGTGACGATATGGATACAGTTTATTATACCATGATATGGATATGACAGCGCCGCAGTATAGCAGGTGAGAGGGAGGTCGCCTAGTGATGTTTTTGCATAGTATTGTTACTTAAAGGTGTTTTAGTTATGGAACTTCTACGAGATTATTTGTCGCAAAACACGCCGAGGGCGGTTAGTGATGTTTAACTTTTACATCGTACAGCAATATTTTAAAATGATCCTTAGCTTTATTATCGTTAAGAAATTTTATCGATATTTTAGTGTAGTATTTCTGTATAACGGGTTTTTAGTTAAGTATTGTTTCGCGATGTAGTGAAATAAACCTTGACTAAAAAAAAGTTAAAGTATGTTAACGGTCTTATAGCTGTATAACTTTGGGCAACGTGGTTTTAGCTAGGTAGCTTAAATAAAAATTTAAACAAAATACTATCATTGAAGGCGGTTCCTGATGTTTTAGTTGAGTAATGTGGATTAACGTAGTTTAAGCTGTGTGAAGTTAAAATTTTGTTGTAGATAACGATGTTTTTGCTTATGCTATCTTTGAAACTACAAACCTTAGAAATACGAATCCAGGACAGATCGATAGAGAATTTTTTTTATATAGTGTGGCATCTATAACTCAAAATTGGCCTATGGTGGCTTAGCGATGTTTTAGCTAACGGACGGCAGTATTATTAAATGATAATGCACACTATGTGCCTACTTGATATTTTGGTTACAATTAAATATATTAATCTAACCAATAAATTATTATTTTGGTTTGATAGCACATGTAGAGTATAAAATACGGAGTAATATTTTTAGCAACTCGCGAATAAGAAATTTTAAAACAAAACGTGACAACAGTTGAAGGTACTGAGAATGTGACTTCAAATAATTGGGACTACACAATTTTATATAAACAACTGAGTCCATCTGTGTTTATACGTCCATGGTGAATTCCCATTGTACAATTTTTAGTGAATAAGTTAAAATAAACAATTATTATGAGAGAATTATCCATATTATAAGGTGGAAAATTAGAGGATTGAGAAAGAATCAGGAACATGGTAAATTGATCTATAAAATGTAATTAATGGTACGTAGTCAGTTATTGTAATACTGATATTAAGATCTATCATATCATATATTGTTTAGCATGTTGCAGTAGATATTTAACTTAAATGGTTGGTGTCTGTCTTATAATTGATGGATTCAGGAGTTATATTAATGTGTAACATTTCTTAATGGTTAATTATTAGGATATAAGCCAAATTGCTTTAATAAAATGTTGATATTAAAAAAGATACAGGGTGTTAAAGTGCAAATTTAAAATTTTATTTTTCGCTATTACTTTCATGTTTGTAAACATTCATGTATAAATATTTACAACTGGGTACTTATACAATATGAGAAATTATAATTTGATGCACACTTTGATGTAGCTGATAGAGGGCGCCAATTTGCACTTAACTTTTTTGCTCTTTAAGTTACCTGTATTTGTGTTAAAAAACATTAAAAATACATTATCTTAACAAGAAAAGACATACCTGTTAATAACTTCAAAACTCAACAATTTTCGAGATAATCGCCTTTTAAAAATCAGCTACATAGTTCTGATATAAGGCAATTACTCCAGGCAACGAAGGAAAAACAGACAAAAACATTAATACTTCTGAACTTGGATATACAAATACTTTTAACTAAAATTAATAATTAACGAAATATTAAATAAAATTAAATAAAAATAAATCAAACAAATTAAATAGATTTTACATCAAACATTTTGCGTTTTATGTTAAAAAAAAAGTCATAATCAACACATTTCGTTTACAAACCAAATTAAGAAATAGTTAAACTAAATAACATAACTTTTTGTCAAAGTAAGTACAGTCAAAATCGTTTATAGCGAACTTCAGGGGACTGGTGGTTTTTGTACGTTGTAGCCAGTGTTCTCTGTAAGCGGTTCTATCGGTTAGAATGAACAGGTTGCTATAAACGATATTACACTAGTAAGAACAGTTATTGTTGTAGCTAGGTTTATGACGCAAAAATGTGATACCTTATCTATACATTTAATATGTTATAAAACATATTATACATAACATTTAACATATGTGTTTATTGTACTTACGTAAATCTAAATATGTACATACATATATGTATAACATGTAGTGAAATAAGTAGTCAATAAAGTATACTCATAATAACAC